CTGCTGAATTGCATCATACTAGACTCGTCACAGAGGTAGGTTCAAAGAACCCTCCACGCAATAAACGCTGCTGAATTACTTTCGCACTGACGTGGGTAGATGTAATTATTTCAGGTTGGCATGGAAAACGCCACACGATCTATCATGCAGTTGTAGTAAAAGTTTTTAACTAAGGACCACTATGCCAATGGCTGCTTTTAAATCGCAAGTATATGATTATTATAACAAATCATTGCTTGGTATGCAATGGGTTTGAAGATCTTTAGTTCTTTACAATCTCAGATGTTTGGGGTTGTTTGGAGGGAAAGATATTTACATATTATTCAATACATATTTCTTATAATTATTTGATCATAGCAAAATGTCTCTGTTTCTTAAGTGGCACACAGCTGTACATACCTCAGAATTTTAAACAACTAATAAAACTTTGCTATTAGTATTAGGCTATATCTATATTAGTTTATTCCCAAAGACTCAATTAGATTACACCTAGCTTTAAATATAAAGTATCTGGTTGTACTAATATTACATTGTAATTAGGAAAATTGTTTTAAACTCATCGAATCATTGTAATGCAATCCATTCCAAAGTTTCGAAGTTTAAATTTTAATATTTAAATATATTACCTGACGTACATATAACCATTACGAACATTGCGGGCTTTGTACTGTATAAATAACAAATAAGAAATGATCTTTCTTAATTTAACGTGAGGTCCTTTCAGAACAAGAAGTGTATCTTCACATGAATTAAAGATTAAGTGTTAATTATTTTCTTCGTCCTCTTTTGCAAAAGTTAGAAGGAATTAATTTGTATAATAGACATTCGATCAGTATAAAATAAAAAAAAAAAAACGATTAACGTACCCATCTTTATACCCAAATCAATTGGATAGATTGGTCGTTTGGATTGCCCACTTTTGATTATAAAGGCAGTTGCTGTTGTGTTAGTAGACCATTAGATTTCTCATCCTTATGGAACAGCTGAAGCCAATTTTATTGTTAGTTCTGTACGTCCCACTATAGAGGTCGTGTTTTGTTTACAAATTGTTTTTTGTTATTTCAGTCACTTAAAACCTCATTTAACCAAATAAAACGAGCTAATAATTAACAATAACTGGTCTCCTAGTTACATAGCATAGTAAAGCACAAATCATGAAAATAACCCTAATATAATGGAAACAAAATTTTGTCTACACTAGCAATCAGTGTCGACGTACATGAACTAGACACGTAAAACTAGCTTCAAAATTTACAATGGGATGAGACGTCTACTAGTCTATGGTAGAACATAGACGCCCAGCCTGAGGACTTGAGTTCCTGCCTCACCAATAACCAATGGTTTTTAGCTATCTTATAATGCGGTATCGTAGTGGTTCGGAACCCAGTCTGCAGGTCCACTCATCTAAAAAACAAAGACTGGATATCTCTGACTAAGTTTACTTTCTCAGTTAGAGTACTCTACCCACCAAAAACCATACATTTAAAACTTTACATAAGTTCATTAAGTACTTAATGAACTTAAACTTTGTTTATAATATAAACATAAAAGTGAAATATTAAAAGCCTAAAAAACTTCAAAGAATTGGCTTTCAAATATGTAACTAATTGATATATGGGTCGTTACTATCTGATAATAATTTTATAGGGTAATCCGACAATGTAGAAATCATGTTTAGATAAGGCCAGACAAGGAAAGCGTTTCTAGCCAAAACTGTGCCGACGGCTACCTCCCTCGGGTCTCTGTGCTCTCAAAACATTAATTCGTACAACCTCAAAATATAAACAACAGCAAATTCTAAAATTCAAGTACAACCTCAAAATATTTACTTGTACAACAGTGCTTTGGGCACTGGAAGAAGACTTTATGTTATATTGTAAAATATGAAACTTGTTATAGCTTTTATTTCGTGTTTGGTGACGCTTGAGTGTCTTATCGTACAAACTCTAACGATACATTAAAATAAAAAATGTTAACCTCAATTTCAACGTCAAAATGGCATCTGTGCCATTCTTTGGGCGCTGCAAGAAGACTTATTACCCTATTGTGAGACTAACACCTTTTTAGTCTTGTTTATATCTAGTTGAGCTTATATGCGGTGGTGTTGATTGATTTTCTCTTATTGTGTACTTTAAATCTTCAGTGAATGCCCTAATATTTGTTTATAATACAACAAGCATGCTTACACTGATTATAATAAGGCAAGTAATTGTTTGTATATGACTCGTTCAATTGATCTTAGTAGTTTCAATGTTTGTGAAATAACCTGAAAGACAAAGAAAAGTAGCGTCAGCCTCAGACTTTGTGGGACCACAGGCTTTCAGTGGAATTTCTCGTGGGTATGCCCGGTATGCGTGTCAGTCAGTCATGTCATGGGCTCATGAGAAACACAGGAGAATATGGGTTAGGCTTCAACACTATAGGATAAGCTCCAGACAGTCGCCTCCAATGATCTACGATTGGGCAGGAGGCAACCAAGATATATTTCAGGAATGGTCACGGGTCATGTCCTTGGCTTCCTGAAACTGCACCTGCATCGCTTGAGGATCTATAATGAAGACACTGCGTGTAGGAAATGTAGACTGCAGATAATCATCTCTGACTGAACAGCTTTGAATGAGGTAAGGGAAATCGTGTGCTCCCGCTATCTCCGCGTTCCGCCACCTCCGAACCCAAATCTGTCCCGCCATCTCCGAATTCTTGAGTGACCCCTATAATCCCGTCACTGCCTGCGTTGGTAGCTGTCATTGCATCCACAGTTGCGAAGCCCCGTGGATGGAAGATTTAATGAAAATTTAACCCGTGGGTTGGGTCAGGTTATGTCAGGTCAGGTTAGGTTAGGTTAAGTTAGGTTAGGTTAGGTTAGGTTGTGTTAGGTTTGGACGGAAAGTCTTAACGCTGGTAGTAACCGAGGATTATAGGGATCACACGGAAATTCGGAGGTGGCGGGACACGGAGGTGGCGGGACGCGGAGATAGCGGGAGGTAACCAGGGAAATCACTCTTAGAACAAGATAAGCGATAGGGTTAGACCCAGATATAATCAATCAATCAAAGAAAAGTACTGATTCACTCAAGTATTACCAAACATCAGGTACCTTAAAATTGACTTCGACTGAATCCAAATTGTTCTTCTATAAGGGTGTATGTTTAATCCAAAGACTTAATTGACCTCAGCAATTGGTTGAAGAGTTTCGAGACTTATGTTCATAACATCTTTAAATATATTAAAACTTGAGATTTTTAAAATGCAATGCTAAAATGTGGTTATTATGGACACAGACAATTATTGTTTTAATTAATGCTATTAATGCAGAAAGATAATTATTTTTTTAAAACTCCTATTTCTCTCTGCAAACGTCGTAGTCCACCTGCATGTTTAAAAATAAAAAGTTCAATCTACAATTTCGTTGTGTCGAAGTATCGAATGCTCTCTTGGTAAATCATTTGATTTATCATTGGAAATATTAGAGATAGTAAATATTTACGACTAAATCGTCTTAAAGTTAATTAAGTTTAACACAGTAAATTGGTAGCTTAATGTTTAATACAATTTCAAGATTTTAAGTAGTTGTGATCAGTATTCATTCTTCAAGCGAAGATCAACTTTTGATTCATACAAAGCATATGTACACTTCATGAAAGCGATTATGCTGTACTACATTCTAAAGTCATTTAAATAAAATAATCAATGAACCTATTACTGCATATTTGTTTTTGGAATGATTGTTGCTATTTATGTCTAAAGAAAATATTCCGAGAAAAAATATCTTAGAAATTTAGGTTTGTGCAAACACTACTGGTTTGGGCTCTATTAAGAGTCAAAATCAATAAAAGATCAAACTAAAATCTTCAGGTGGTAAAATAAATCTCCGATGACACACAATTATAAAACAAAACTACGAAAAAACATAAACTCCTTGTTAGTTCGATCAGGCAGGTCTACTATCTTAGCATTTACAATATACTAACAATAATTGCACACAACTAATTTATCTCATGGTAAATTTTCATAAAATTCAGCGGAAGACACCAAATACTTTTTAATGTGGCTTTGCGATGCAAGCTAAGTCTCCAAAACATGATTAAGTGTAAGATACATGTATATTTCTGTCATATACACAAACTTTTGACCAATTATATTGCTTTTTTGTTACATTGCCAATAACTTTAAAGTATAAAGGACAAAAATGCAGCTAAATCTTAAAAAATAATAGTCCTTTGGTATTATTAATCAATTGAATAGTAAAGTTTATACAGTAACATTTTTCATAAAATAAGAGGATATTTTGTAGACTTCAGCATGGATACAGTTAACCGAACATAAACCGAAAATATACATGCAACACCCAAAGGTAAATAATCTACATGTACAAAGTCAAAAATACTAAAGTAAAAAATTCTACATGCAATACCCAAAGTAAAAAATTCTACATGCAACAACCAAAGTAAAACATTCTACATGCAACACCCAAAAGTAAAAAATTCTACATGCAACACCCAAAGTAAAAAAGTCTACATGCAACACCCAAAGTCAGGAAATCTACATGGAACACTTATAGTAAAAACACAATAGTCAATCATGCAATAGTCAAAGTTAAAGAATCTACATGCAACACCCAAAGTCAATTAATGTAATTGGTGTAATACCGGGGTTGGACGTGACATCCTATATGATGTTAAAATGTACAACTTAACGTTTAGATACCTCAAAATGAGTCCCAGTGCTCTCAGCACATCCTCTTAATCACATTTTAAAATTATAAGAGGAAACAACAATTCACTTATATCTCAAATTTATTTAATCTGAGTTGTTTACACTCTCGCATTTTCTGTTTCCCATTCTGTCATGTCCCTATGAAATATAAGCGAAATTTAAATAGATATTATAAAATGTGGAATGGGCTGGATGAATTGTTGTGGGTGGTTCGTAGGTGGGAGGGGCTTCAACCCCCCCAGAGATATATAGGTGTAAAATTTGACGTTGAGTTCTTAGTGTCCGGCGCGCCACCTCTGATATCAGATACTTTACACTCTGCTCTAAGGTACGTACCTACGTAACAACAATGATTTGTACAGCTCAACTACAAGTTATTGTTCTGTCATTTATTAAAATTATCATTTTCGAAGAATCGTTATCATGATCTTAGAACGAAGAATCATGAAAATATCCAAAGCAAATTATTATAGACCTAACATTTGAGAGAGCGCAACAATGTATTGTTAAGGTAAAATGTATTTCAACTGGCCTTTACTTTTCATTAATGAAATATTTATATACATTTTCATGTTAATTATACAAAAGCAGTTTATTAGAGAACCAGCATTTGATAGAGATCAAATGTACAGGCTGTAATGAAATGCGTAGAGTGATATGCAGTCGATATATGGACTCGATCTTACATACACAAATAAGTCAAAACTGTCTAGTTACATTTATTTATCTAAATCATCCTTAAATTATCAACTGCTGATGTTTCTGTAAGTTTCACGTCAATAGATATAGAAAATATTAGCATAGAACTAGCATTTGGTAGAACGGTCCATGTATTATTACACAAACGTTTATTTAAAATATCCTTTACCTATTCGCTACTGAAATGTTTGAAAAATGCCACGTAAATCTAATTAACACTTTGGCACACTTTTTTAAAGAGCAACTATATATTTTACAGTTCAATTTATTACAAATATTTTTGACTATTCACTACGTAAAGATCTAAAAATATATTCTAAACAGCTTTGAAGATCACAGTAATTGAAAGGGTGCAATTATGTATTGTTACAGAATTATTTATTTGAATTATAAATTATAGTTTTCCTTCTAAAAGATATCTGGCAAGTTTCATGTAAACAATTTAGAAGAAAACTAGCATTTGATAAAGCGCAACTATACATCATAAATATGATTTATTTTAATTATCATTAATATGTTTACTATTGAAATATTTATAGAATGTGTCATGCCAATCTATTAAAACAACTTAACATAATAGCAATCGACAGAGCACAGCTAAATGCTATTAGACTATCGATTTGATTAAATGTTCATTTATTTTTTACTGCTAAAAATCTTCTTGACAACTTAGGTTAATCTCAAACAACTTATTTCTCAATAATCTCAAAGCATACAACTAATAAAAGAACAACTCTTTTAGATTGTGGCTCTTTCATATTCGTATCCCTTCTATTATAACATAGAATAAAGTTCACTCTTCGATTTCCGTTCTTACTTCAACAACGAATTTAGATTAAGAATCTAAATTAAACACATTTCAACTAAATTTGAGTAGTACTAGTTGGTTGGGCAAAACAACACCAAATTCGTCAACACAAAATCATAATACGATTCAGATATATTACACGACTTAGTTGTTGGCGAGAGTTTGAACATTGTTTAAGTCTTTATCAAAAAAGTAACACTAATTTCAAATAACAGGTCTTTTGAATAAGTCTTTAGTATCCCGATTCCCGATGATTGCTACGCATTGTAATATTTTTGATGGATGATAAGTTGAACGTCTTCATAGCGTGTTAAATATATACTATTTATATAGCTAAATTAATAATTACAAACAAATTAATAGGTTATTTATAGCTATGACATTATCAGGCTGTACTTTATTATTATGTTTTAGGTTATTTAATTTCGATGACCCTGGTTATTGTTCATTTTATATTTTTGCTTTGACAATAATTGTAAAAGTGTAATATACCTACTATAGCGTCGGATGAATATATAATCTTAAGTAACGTATTTATATGTTATATTGTTGATCGTTAAGTGCCTGTACGCAAATAAATTGGCAACGCAGTGGTACGATAAGGAAATGAGAACAGAAATATCGATTTTGAAGATAAAATCGTTCATCATAATTGAAGTCAGGCTTACAGTCATTTGGCGATTTTCCAATCGTTTGTTGCCTAAAGAAAGCGGTCGCGATTGTGAATATGCTCTTATTGTTTGGATTTATCAATTGTGAATCACTGCCACGCATAATACCGCATATAAACTCAACGGGTTGAATTGTGTTGGTTTTTCAATTTCGATTTGCAACTAAGTTTGTTAAATATTCGAGTATAAAATAACTAAAGTTACCCCAAAACATAAAGATTTTAAAAGAGGGAGTTAAGATTTCAATATGGTTACAGTATCTCTTTCACGAAGTATTCTTTTTGATATAGGTAGCAAAGACTAATTAATACAATTCAAAAACATTCCATTATGAAGCTTCATTGGTTCATACCCCCCCCCCCCCCCAAAAAATGTGATTAGGTATATTGTGGAAGGATAAGTTGCAAATCAGAAAAAATATATGTTTATTTGCAATATTTGTGTTTTTGTGAATTTTATTTAAATAAATTACATTTGTTTTGCAACTTTTATGAAGTTTGATGCAGCATTTGTATCATTCCAAATTTTTCAAGTAGAGTGGGTTCAGCCAGCCGCATGGAGGACCGTGAGTTCAAGATGGATTGGATGATTAACCGATTGGCTAGTGCATTTCCCTAAACTATTTTCTCCATTTATATCCTTATTGATACAGTTAAAAAAAATATTGTGTCGATTATATGTATCCTATTGATGTTAAAATTCTGTTGCATCACATTCACTACATGATCACTAGACTGTCAAATCATATGAAATAATTATGTTTCGATGCAGTTTCATAATATTCTACGGACATATTATGACATATTACGACATTGTACTAATGACTTAAAAATATGTTTTGAGAATGCAGGCGGCTGCAACGAGAAACCTGTTCAGTAGTATTTACAATATTTTGTCAAAGAAATTCAAGCAAAACATTATTGAATCACGTTCAATCTCAGGAGAAAATTACTTCCCTAAGATAATGCGTACAAAAACTACGGCAGAGGCTTCCCTCTTTGTTGCTTAAAAAAAAAACATATCAGAGTCATATACGAGTAATTAGTGTTGGTAATCGTGAAAAAAGTATACAAATAAAATTTAGAAAATATGCTCCAGACACAAATGATAATTATGATCCATCAAAATATGATTGAAAATTGTTGTATGAGCCCTTATGTTACATGTCTTCTTGTGTTTTAAAAGTTTTGTTTTCATATTTGTTTTACTATACTCCCGTATAAGTGGAGTTATAACTAGCATGGGAGTTGCATCACTTTTTTATTTTCTTTGCTCATGTGTGAACCTCAACCAAAGATTAACTGATTTCGAATCTAATCTTACCTAAACTATGATTAAAAATCTTCATTTAGTTGTATGTTTAAAGGATTATTGTGGACTTTTTTAGTAAAACAGGAGGTTACGTATTTTTAGTATCTTGAATCTGACTCTATTTTCTAGTTTTAAGGTTTAAAAATGAATAATTACTGAAACCAACAAATAATTTTGTAAGCTGTCAAATTAAAATCAAATAAAAGTTTATACAGTAACTATAGTGCCAAAAAATCGCTGGCCTTCAATGCAGTTGCATTTTTAGGGCCTCCGAAAAAAATTAAATATGCTCCATCATACTTTTTTTATCCTTTGTTTAGTGGAAGATAGTCAGATGTGTAGCTTTCCAAGTTATGTGGAATGTGTTTTGTATTTGCCATTTTTTTAATCAATAAAAAAACATTTCCTTGCTTATTTAATATCATTTTTTTAAAGTAGAAATTGTAAATTATCGCTTGTGCTTCGGTATTATAAACGAAACGTAAAGCGCGCGTTTGTATAATTTCCCCTGATAAAAGAGGGTAACATTTAACTATCATCAACGCCTTATATGATTACCAGAAAAGCACTCATCAAAACAAATTTTAAATTTAACATAAAAATATTAAACATAACAATGACAGCGGTTTCGACGAAAATCCCACATAACCGTCCAAAGCCAATGGTTAAACGCAATTTACTACTGAACCAAAGAAAATTGAATCGACAATAATGCACAATAGAAACAGCTGATTTGAACAAGCGGAATTCTTTAAGTATGTATGACTATAATTACCGTACTCCAAACTTGTTATTCACTATTATTCTAAGGTGAACATGAAACTAAGTGTAGTGTTAAACTTTTACTGTTTGCAAATGGGTGTTGACTTAGCTAACGGAAGACAACTAATGGCTAGGGTGAGTCTATATGTGTTTATGCATTTTTACTGCCTATCCTTACTATCATGTGAACAGAGGTTATAGTGGAAATTATTTAAAACACAGTAATAACAAATACCCCCACCGCAGCAAGCGTGCAGGCTACGAGCACTTTGACTTTTTGAATACTTAAACTTCCTATGTTCGTATATTCTATTGAAAACGTATTGTTTAGAGAAGAAAGTACAATTATTATTTTGTTGATCAATGTATCATTAAAATTCAACACCACCAACATAATAGCAAATATTCATGTACGTACAGTTTCCTAGTTTACTATAGTCTATCAAAGAAAAAAAATAATTAAAAAAATTACAATTTTTGATTACGTAAAATGTACAAATCTCAGACGCTAAGTAATATAAGCGAGAGTTGAATGAATTAACACGAATCAAGTTTCTTACACAGCCAGGACATCTAAATGAGATACATCGTATAAATTGCATTCCATAGAAAGTTAATTAGGTTAGAACAGCCCTGTCATTGAGGGACATTATCTACACATGAGATGGAGTTTCTCAACTTTGAACATTTGAACACTTGTTGAGTCTCTAGTTTCAGCTGTTCATAAACATAATTATTTGAGGGTATTCAAACTAAATATTAAAAAATTGACATAAAAAGGCTTCGTTTGCAACATGTCATTTTAAAAAGAAATGCTTCAATATAGAGTTGTAATTATAATTAATATGGTAACTAAGGAAAACTACTCTATATTATATAACTGTTTTCAAAACTTTCAAATCAATTTTATCTTTTAAAATACTATCAAGTGAATGTATAATTTTGATATTGAAAAACTTAATGATTTGGTGAAAACGTTATACATAATAAATTAAAACCGTTTGAATTCAAGCAAAATAATGTCGAAGAGCTGTACAGTCTTAAATAACTACTTGATCAAAAATTATTAACTTTACA